GACAGGCGTGTCCGTGCACAGGAACAACCCCATCGTCCAGAGCTGGCGTGTGAAGGCCGGCTCCAGCCTCCTCTCGGGCACCACCACCGTCGCCGTGGCGAAGGTCTTCCTGGCTGAGGTGCCGTCCACATCTCCCAAGGACAATGACATCGCCCTGGTGAAGCTGCAGTCTCCCCTGACAGGCGTGTCCGTGCACAGGAACAACCCCATCGTCCAGAGCTGGCGTGTGAAGGCCGGCTCCAGCCTCCTCTCGGGCACCACCACCGTCGCCGTGGCGAAGGTCTTCCTGGCTGAGGTGCCGTCCACATCTCCCAAGGACAATGACATCGCCCTGGTGAAGCTGCAGTCTCCCCTGCGCGTCTCAGGTGAGACACAGAGCACCCCTCCTTAGAGCCAAGTGTCTTCAGAGGGCACTGAGAAGCGGGCTAGGAGAGCGATGCCCTGTGCAGCAACAGCCAGTGGGTGCCAAGACGTGGTGCTGAGAGGGCCACGCGGTGAGGGGCCACGTGTGGGGGGTGCCCAGCTGGGCCCAGGGACACCTTCCCCACGAGCCACCCCACACACCTCCTGCCCCTTACCTCTCCCCCCCAGACAGCAGCAAGCCCATCTGCCTGCCCTACTTCGACGAGGAGCTGGTGCCAGGCACGTCGCTGTGGGTGATAGGCTGGGGCTACACACAGGAGCACGGTGAGCAGGACGGTGTGGGGACAGGTGCTGTGCCCGCCTGCAAGGAGGGCAGAGTGCCCCCAGCACTGCTCGCAGCAGGACACGGGCCGATGGGCTCCCTGCTTGCCTAGGGCTGCTGGGGACCCCTCTGAGCAGCCACGTTTCGTGCAGGGAAACTGTCAGAGACCCTGCAGCAGGCAGAGGTGAGTCTCATAGACAAGGAGAGCTGCAACCTGGACGCGTACCACGGGGCAGTCACCAAGAGGATGCTGTGTACCACGGGGCGGTCACCAAGAGGATGCTGTGTGCCGGCCTGCCCCAAGGCGGGGTGGACACCTGCCAGGTTGGGGGGTGCCTGGTCTAGAAAGGGGGGCGGGTTGATCTGCACCTATGCATGAAAAAGCCCTGGGGAAAGGGCTCCAGGGTTCAGCTGTGAGCACCAGCACCCACCGTGCTGGGGCCGGGCAGCTCCCCAGCCCTCGCTCAGAGGGTCTGTCCTTGCAGGGGGACAGCGGCGGGCCCCTGCTCTACTCGGGCAGGCACTGGCAGGTCGTGGGCATCGTCAGCTGGGGCCAGGGCTGCGGCACCCCCAGCACGCCCGGCGTCTACACCAGCGTCCGTGCCTACCTCAACTGGATCTACGGTGTCCGGAGGGTCAGTGCCGTGCAGCGAGAGGGCTGCTGCTCCCCGGCGGGTTTCGGGGGCGGTGGGGAAGGGTCGGGCCCCCCCGGCGGCTCTGCACAGAGGGGAAGCACGTCAAGCAAAGCATGGCAACGGTGTGGGGATGGGGGCCACGGGCTGCCAGCCCCTGTCAGCTCTGCACGGGAGCCGAGTCGGCTGCTCAAGGACACGAGTGTTTACCTCCTGGTTTCGGGTGCCCTTTCAAAGCCTGCAATTTCTTCTCTCCCACTCTCTCCTTCCAGTCAGAGCTCTGAGACCTGCCGGGACAGGTCCCTCCTCTCTCCCCAAGCCACCCTCCCCGTCCCTACGCCCGTGTCTGCCGTGGCTCCGGCAGCAGCTGGGAAATGGATCTCCAGCCACGTAAGGTGAGCGGCGCCTCCTGAACCCTCGCTGGCAGGCTGTGACTTAGAGCACCAGAGGCCAGCTCGGAGCAACAACCACTGATACCGTGAGGGAACCTGACCGGCTCAAGCTCCCTCCCGGAGAAAGATTAATTTATTGCCCTGTGCTGACCCTGCCATGGCAGAAAGGCTCCTGCGTGGCTAAGATACTGTTTGTTTACTACTGTCATACAGAGAAATGATTTTTGTGCCCATTAAATTAAAGTACCTGTTTTTTCACACAGCCTCTGAAGGCTTTGTTCCTCTTGCTAGCAGGGGTACTTCTCACAATACCCTGCGTTCTGCCAGAGCTGCTTTCCCAGCGCCAGGCACAGTTTATCCACTAGCTCTCGGGAACAGGCTGTTCCTGCACACAAGGAAGAAAGTGCTGCGTGGACCTCGGCCATCCAGCCAGACAGGCTGATCAGAATGGGGTCACTTTAAAGTACCATAAACTAACAGGGGCATTATTTGAAATCAACTTTGCTAGCATAGCTTCAGCCCCAGTAGAAATCAGGGCCATTCCCATGCAACATGGCACAGGGGGATCCTGCTTTCCAGGCAGCCATGCTCAGGGAGCCTTTTGCTCTCAGAAACACCCCCAAGCACCCCACAAACCCACGTGAAGGCAGCGCTACAGCCCCGGCCCATGGCACGCTGGCTCCCCAGCTGCAGGCACCCACAGCCCTCCAGCTCGCGTGGGTAGTGCACACCCACAGGTAGTGGGAAGCAGCACCCAGCTCACCCCACGGGCTGTCCATGGGGGAGCAGCCATCACCCACCCGGGACAAGCAGCTACAGAAGACACAGCCCACACTCGGCACAGCAGGGACACGCCGCAGCTCCTTGCCTGGGCACAGGGCTGGCAGTGCACCTCGTGTGCCCGGGGGGTTCACAGTAAGCCTGAACAGACACCCGCAGCAACTCAAACCAGAGCGAGTTTCTCTAGTAAACATAAACTTTATTTCATTCAAGGCAAAGCTAACTGAACTTCTACAGTGCAAAAATGTGCTCTAAGTCGTCACACGGCATGTTGTACACACCCTGTGTTTATTCGCAGGTCTCTCCTACGTGTATTTATAAATGCTTACACACATACGTGTCTGTCGCAGCACACACCTCGGGCAGGGCCCTCTCCCCCGCGTGCCCCAGGAAGGCCCTGCAGCCCCCAAGGCCCCTGTGATGGCAGGGACCCTGCAGGAGCTGGCAGGAGTGCCCGCGGAGCCAGCCCGCCCCCCCGGTGCCCCTGCGCCCACGCACATATGGGACAGCGTTACCCTCCCCACCCTGCTTGTGTTGGCTTCTTCCATCAGCCAGAGGAGTAATCCATGCATAGTACAGCATTGCATATCCTGTGGTAAGTGGACCTGCATCCAGGTGCCATCTAAAAACGGCCAACAGGTTAGGACAGCTAGAAAGAATTCTTTAAAAAAATGCCTTCCTCTCCTTACTATCCTCTCCCATGGGAGGTCTCCTCCAAGGATGGGCTGGGGGTCTCTTGGGGCAACTGGGAGGTCTCACACCTTCCTGCCCAGACTCTCTCGTGTGACAATGGTCGGTGAACAATAGTTTGCATTTACAGAGTGCCTCTTGCCCCGGGATCTCGGAGCACTTTGCAAAGCGATGCAGGGAGCCTCACACCTCCTGTGAGGTAGGTCAGAATTACTGTCCCCACGCTACAGATGGGGAAACTGACGCGCAGAGAAGTCAAGTGATTGGCCTGATCATCCCATGGATCCTCAGAAAGGGGACGGGGATCCCAGGGACCTCACTCCCACTTGCCCATCTAACCACGCAGCCAAGGAAACGTGCCTGGGGCCAGGCACCGCGTCCGTCTCCTGTCCTGCTCCTGCGGGTGCCCCCGAGCCCCCCAGCTGGGCACAACCAGCTGGCCTCCTGCCCGGGGGAAGGCTGCAAGGTGCTCTCCATACCAGGCAGGTGGGGTCTGACCTCTCCTACCACAGTCTCCACAGAAGGTAGCACTGGACCCTTCCTCCTGTGCCTCACCCACCAAATCCTCACCTAACCTCTGCTCCGGCACCTCTGTTGGGTGCCAGCCCCCGCAGCCAAGAAGTCAGGACTCAGCTTTTTGAGTCAGTTTTGAGTGAGGGCAGGTGAGCTGCTGGTCCTGCAGCTTCACTGACAGACACCCACAAATAAAGGAGAAATAGGGAACAAATGGCATTGTAAAGGACATTGTCAACTTCAGCTGTAGGATCGGCTCATTCCCTTCACAACTCATGTCCTGCTACAGCCCTCGGGAAGGGGGCTGGGTTGCCCAAGTCCCCACTGCTGGTACCCTTTGCAAAGACCCTCTGGCTTTCTGTGGCACCCCTCACCCAAGGATCTCAAAGCACTTTCCAAATGTTAGCCAAGGAAGCCTCACAACAACCCCTGTGAGGTAGAGCAGTATTATTATCCCCATTTTTCAGATGGGGAAACTGAGGCATGGAGAGGCAGAGCAACTTGCCCAAGGTCACCCTGCAAGCTGGTGGCAAGCCCGGGAGCAGGCTGGCACAGCCCTGGCCTAGCCCCCCTCACCAAGGCTTGACTGTGCCCCCTCCCTGCACTGCCAAACAAATGCCACAGTTTTCCTCGGGTGGAAGAAAAACACAGTCAGCCATCTCCCACGGGAGGCTAATATAAAAACCAGCCATGTAAGGCGTTAAGCCTTGGCAGGTGGGCATCAGAAGCATCACTGCTCCGAGTGCCAAGCTTTAGCAAGGGGGGAGGAGGAGCAAGCGCAGCCGCAGCACAAGCCCAGGAGCATCTCCTGAGAAGGCTGGCTGGGGGAGAAAGCCCCTGCTGCCCCCAGGGACAGCCCTGTGCAGGGCAAAGCGAGGGTGAAACAGGGAGCTTCACCCCACCAAGCCCTGCCACTGGCCAGCGGTGACCCTGGGACACGGCCAGCCCTGGCTGCTGGTTTCCCCAGCCCCAGCACTGGGGGAACCAATTTACTGTGGGGTCAGCATGCCCCACGGGAGCAGGGCAGCCAGCCCTGCTGAGGAGAGGTGACAGCCCTGTCGGCGACGGGGCTCTCACAGATTTGGTTCTCGAGTGTGCTTAACAGGTGAGCTGAAGCCAAGCCCCACCACAGCAGCCCCGCTTCCTCTCTTTGCCCGGTGAGAAACGCAGGGGGGGCAGGAGCCCCCATCTTCTACAGCACCTAGATTGGTGCTTCCTCACAATGCTCCAGAAACCTCCTGCCCGCCTCAGCCCAGCACCACCAGAGCCAGACAA